TCATTTCGGAGAGATGGCTTTGAGGGAACTGGACTAGCCCTGGCTAGGGATGGACGTGGGAAAACAAGGCGGCTCCAATGAAGCGCCAATGAACATTGTTACAATTAGATCCTCTCTGCTTTCTTTTGTGGTCGCCTGGAGATCATTTATTAGCCCATTCCCATTCTTTACCTTTTCTTTAATCCCAACCTTTTCTGCAATCCCAACCGGATCAGCTAGATTTTGAGTTCAATTCGAAAAAACAAAAATCTGTGAAAGAACGAGGCTAGCTCTTTTCCCTATATTCAAATTGGATATCAGTCTAAAGATTACGGTAGTTAAATGAGACGAAATTTGTGTTTAGCTATTTGGTCATTGGATGATCGCGTAATTGAACCGGGTTGAAAGAAGAGAATTGACGTTGAGAGCTGTTCTTTTTTTTATTTAGTCACTGTGACATCCAGCTTGATCAAATCTGCATTCATTTGCCCGATTTCTAAAAGAGTCGAGGAGTATTTGAGTCAAACTCTTTCCTCCAACTCTGACACTTTTTCAAAATCAAAAACCTAGCTTTTTTTTTCACTTTTTTCCATTTTCGTGACATCCAGCTTGGCCAAATCTTTTGTTATTTTTGAAATTTTCTCAAAAATTTCGCAATATTTCCCTTCGAACTCTAAGAAAAAAAAATGATCAAACAAAACGCCTCTCACAATCCCCCAAAACGTCACAATTTTCACGAGATTTCCTTCAGTTTCCGCGAAAAAATAGAGAAATTAAAAGAAAAAGAGATGACAAATCAGTCAAAAATGAGTCATTTTTTTTTTATTTTTGATAAATGATCACTTTTTCGGGATTCCTGAATTTAATTTCAAAATTTTTACAAAAAAGCCATTTTAGCTGGCTGTGAGTGTTCAATCGTTAAACAAAGAACAAATTTAGCCATCCTGGATGTCACAGCAGGCATTTTTAAACTCAAAACTGTACTTTCATGTACAATAAACTTGGGTAATTGAACCGGATCCTTCGCTAGGCATTTTAGCTGGCTGTGAGCGTTCAATTGCTAAACAATGAACGAATTTAGCGATCCTGGATGTCACAACAGGCATTTTTAAACTCAAAACTGTACTTTCATGTACAAAAAGCTTTGGTAATTGAACCGGATCCTTCTCGGGGCAATTTCGGTGGGCTAGGAGCGTCCAGTCTTTAAACAATCAACAGATTCAACGTTCCTGGAATGCACGACGCATAAAAAAAGACAAAAATTTGACGATTATGCAAATTTTGAAATTTCGAAATTTCGACCTACTGTAACTGGGGCACATTTTAGAGTATGACTGGGAAATGCTAGAAAACACTTTTTTGCCAAGCGAGATCTCGAGTGTGACATCCAGATCGACGAATGGTTCAATGAAATGAGGCTAAACCGTTCAATTACCCAACGGGGAAACGGGGTCAACGATTCGACACTCAAAAATGGGAAAAAGTATTCAGTGAAACAACTGTAATTGGTCATTGGAAAGTCTCCAAAACGGAAAAATCTTTAAAACCTTTAAAATCTTTACAATCTTCAAAATACGAAAGTGAAAAAGCGATTTTTTTTAAGAGATTTTTGGAAAAATCTCAATTTTTCGAGCTTTGCTTCATTATCAAAGCCTTTTTGAGGTCATTTTTTGGGGAAATGATTGATCGAGCGATTTTTTGAGGGATTATGGAGCGCACGCTTGGAAATGGTAAAGAAAACTTTTTGTAAACAGATGATTTGAAAAATACGGATTTGCCTTGTTACCCAGTGTACGAGTGACGATGGGAAAATTGGTTTTAAGGGGTTTCTAAGTTTCGGAACATTTACTGTGACATCCAGGATCGCTAAATCTGTTGGTTGTTTAAAGACTGGACGCTCCTAGCCCACCGAAATTGCCCCGAGAAGGATCCGGTTCAATTACCCAAGTCTACTGTTTACAATGAAAGCACAGTTTTGAGTTTAAAAATGCCTGCTGTGACATCCAGGATCGCTAAATCTGTTGACTGTTTAACAATTGAACGCTTACAGCCAGCTAAAATGCTTTGCGAATGATCCGGTTCAATTACGCAATAACCGAAAGATTTCAAATTTCTTCAATTCCCATTTTTTCATATTCTGCCTCCCAGGATCCAATTTTTCTCAATTTTACGAAAAACTCGAGTCCTCAAATCGGCAAAAGGGTGCTCGTCGCTCGATCTGTTAGAGATGTCCCTTCGATTCGAACCCCAGGGGACCCTTTCCTCTTAGCTCAATTTTACTCAAAACCCAAAAAGCTTTAGACGTTTTTAAGTTGTGCCATTGTGCAAGCTGGATGTCACAGCAAATAATGAAAAGGTTTAAAACAGCAGTGCTAGCTTTTTAGAGATTTCGAATTTGATCCGATACTGTTGGTCCGATTTTATCCACAACTAGCAGTGTGCCAGTCATTTTTGATATCCCAAGAAGCAAGCTGGATGTCACAGCAAATAATGGGAATTCTAAAATGCCGTTATCTACAAGTTTAAAATTTCTTAAAATTTTCAATGCAAATTTCCAAGGTTTTATTGAGATCCCCCGCGTTTTAGCCTTTTAGATTTTCATTTTTAAAAATTTTTTTTGATTTTCCCACTCGAAAACGAGTTCAGCGAGTGTTTGTGAGTCATTCGGGAATCAAAAATCAAAAAAGACCTCTTTTTCACCCCTTTAAACTCCTCTAACCAGCCAGATACCTAAACACACCGAAAAACACCGAAAAAATACGTCTTTTTCTCGATTATCTCTCAATTTTCGGCTATCTGGAGCGCACACTTAAAAGCAGTGACTCAAAGAATTCGAGTTCTTAGGAGAAAAGATTTTTGTTTTGGAAGAATTGAGTTTGACGGGATTTCTTTGTGATAGTCAGAGCTATGTTTAAAATTTCTCAGCCAATGCTCGAGCTGGAGTACACAGGAGCCTTTTCGACTGATAAAACGGAAATTCTCCAATTCTACAAAATTCCTCTCTAGCACATTCGAGTTCGGTGGTGAATGGATGACTTGGCGTGTGCTTGACCCTGGCTTCAACCAGGCAGACCTCGAGCTGGAGCGCACACTACATAGCTATTTTATGAATAGCTACTAGGCAGCATTTGTAGACTGGGTGGTCTCACAGCTGAGTGGTCAACGGGGGCGCGAACCGGTCATTCTCTCTTTCTTTTTCCCTTTCCCTAAAAATTGACCGGAAACGCTCGGAAAAGTTGTCCTGCGCTCCAGGATTGAGCAATTTGAAAAAATTAGCACTCAGAAATCAAACACTTAGGGAGAAAAGCTCGCAAACGCATTTGAGATTTTGAGAATGGTGAAAAATCTCCGTAATGACACAATGCTCTGCATATTCTGAACACTTCCACGTTCTTGATGGAGCGCACGGGGATTTTTGTGATAGGGAAATCCTTATTTTATGAATAATTTCCAAGCTAGTACTAGGCAGTATTTGTAGACTGGCTACTCGCACAGCTGAGTGGTCAACGGGGGCGCGAACCGGTCATTCTGTCTCTCTCTTTCCCTAAAAACGAACACACTCAATCAATCGTCGATCAGTGTGTGAATGAAATTGTTAGCCGCTTTTCTAGGTCAGCATTATTTTTTAGAGATTTTAAAAACGTAAAAAACCAGTGAAACCAAGATTTTTGAAATTTCAAAGAAATCAAAAGCGTCAAAAAGCTCGAAACTTATCAAAGAAAATATAAACCAAAACCAATAGCGCAAAACCGATCATTTTTCAACCTTTTAAACACTTTTAAACAACGTTTAAACCCGTATGCAACTTGATTTACGACTCCAGAACCTTCTCGAGAGTCTAACTCCTTTTTGAAGGACAGGATTTAAAAAATATCTCGGTTTCAGCTGATCTGGAAGGCACACTAACACTTGTGGCAATCAGATTAGACAATCGACAGCTTTGGGAAGTCAGCTTTATGGCTTCAGAACCTTCTCGAGACTCTAGCTCATTTTTGAAGGACCGGATTTTAAAAATATCTCAATTTCAGCTGATCTGGAGGTCACACCAAATTTTGTTGCAATCAAATTAGACAATCGACAACTTCGGGACGATTCAGATTCAGCTTAGAGCGCCAATGTCAGCTTTAGGCCAAATTCTAATTCAAATTCAAATACAAAGCATCCAGGATCGACCACAACTCCAGGCTGAAGCCAGAATTAAGCCAGATTTCAGAGCAGCTCCTGAGCCAGTCATAGATTGGGCAGACCTGGATGGAATCAATCTGGATTCGATCAAAGCTTGGGCTTGACCAGGACTCGGATTAAGCTCAAAAGCTCGCGTCTGACCTGATGAGCAAATTTCTCTCCGAAATTGAGTGAGGGCTAGCTCAAGCCACAAACGAAGGCCAGCTCAAGCCATAAGGCCAGCTGCTCAAGGCTTAGGCTCAGGCTTAGGCTCAGGCTTAGGCTCATGCTCAGGGCCTAGGCTTCCTAGGCCGCAAGTCCCTTAAGCCTGAGCCTAAGCCTGAGCCTCATTTGCCATTTCCCCTCGTGATCCAATCATCCATTTGATCAAAAATCGAAAGGAGATACCGAAAATTCCCCTCAATTTCGGAGAGAAATTGTTGAAAAGAAAGGCATGGAAAGCTATGGAAAGACGGAAAGATGGAAAGACGGAAAGACAAAAAAGAAAGCCATTCAAAAGACAATATCAGTCTTTTTTTTTGAGTAGATATGATAAAAAACGAAAATTAAATTAAGAGATAAAGTTTTGAATGAAAAAAATGAGGATTTTGAGAGACTTTTCCTTATCATTTCGATATTATTGCCAAAATCTTGAGAAATCTTTTTTTAAAAGCTTTTTCCAACGATTATGGATGTCAGGAAAAACAATGAAATAATTTAAAATCCAAATTTCGAATTTCAAAAAATCCACATTGGAATGGAATTGAGAATGGAGCGATTTGCGAGAAATGGAGAACGATTTGAAAGTTCTGTTTAGCTTTTCTAAAGTCCTGGATGTCAACTTAAAGCCCACCAACCTCAGAATGCTTCTAGCGTTGAAAAACTCCCTCGCACTGCGGCGTTGCACGAAACGACGCGCGTTCTCGAAATTCCCCAAACTCTCCTGGCTTTTCACTTTCTCGGGGGTCCTTCTGGAGCGCACAGGTAACGCTCGTAGCCTCACCGGAGGCTCTTTACTACTTTCTCGCATCTCGACCTCACCCCGTACCGCCAAACTCCTCGACCGCCTCACCAGCACCTCTCTAAATCCCTTCAGTGAGCACTTGTGCTGTAATTTTCTTGCAAACGATTGCTTCTTCTCAATTCCTTTTTCAATTTCCGACCCAATTTCTCTATTTTTAAGAGAATTTCCATAAAAATCGCCCGGTTTCGGCAAAAATGAAGCACAAATCGCTTCTCGACGATTTTCAGAGTCGATTTTAAGGCTAGGCCTCGGAATGAGCAAAGATTTCTCGGTTCTGGATGTCACAGCGTAGTCTAACGCAATTTTTGAGGCTCTATTTGAAGAAATTCGAGGCAGCGCTACTGTCGTCGGGACTCGCGGTGCAAATTGGCTTGACGTGTACTCGGTGTACTCTGGGTCACGGTCTGGCGTCTGCCTGTCTCCAGGTTTCTCGAAAGTTGCATAATCTCCTGAATTGCCGAAACTGGAGGCAATGGAGACGCGCTTCTTCGAGGGCGCGTACTGCGCGCACGACTCTGCCAACCGGGGCTCGCGGAGAATCGTTTTCAAGGCCGGATTTGCTTCGTAAACGGCATCCTGGAAGGCACGACGAGTTTTCGAATAATTAGAATTCATTGTTTCCGTTGACTTTTTCGGATCGATCCAGATCGTCGTGCTCATGTTGAAGAGGGGAAATGGTCAAAGTTTGATAGAGGAATTTAGCCAGGATTACGTGCGATTTCAATCTTTTTTGAGTTAAATGGGGTTTCTAGCGATTTCTAGGGGTTTCTGCGAGTTGGGAGTGAGGAGGGGAAAGGCTGACTCTGGGTGTCTGTTCGGGACCACGCCCTGCCCGACCCCCAGAAAGCCAGAGAAAACGCAATCTATGGAGGTCAGGAAGGCTTGGGAAAGTGATTGGGAATGGAAAAAAAGAAAAAGAAAAGAGAAACGGCTGTGACCGGGATCGAACCATCGTCCTTTGACTCGCAGCCAAACTCGCTAACCACTAGGCCACGAAATTTTTGTGAGCTTTTTAAGTTTTAAGAAAGCCAGTATGTTTCGTGACCTCCAGATAGAACATTTCATTAAAAAATTTTTTGATAGCTTTAAGGAATCGGGCTAATTCCTCCCAAACTCTTTCGCTATTAATTGGGCCTCGAAATTTACAATCGAAATACAATTCTAACATTCTCATTTTCCATACTGCGCTCCAGATCGAGTATTTCATCAAAAATAATATGCCTATCTAGAGATCAGATTCCCTTTTCGAGGGGTTAACCCAATTCCGACTTTTTTTCTCTATTCCGACTCTATTTCGATTTCGATTTTTCCAAAAAAACAGCTGAAACCCGAAAAGAGAATGCAGGGAAAGGTGAGAGTTTCGATCCGATTTGCCGACTTTTTTTTCGATTGCTATTCGATACAGGATTGCTTTCAATCATTTTGGACTAGGGTCATCCATCCTGACTTATCCACCCCACTTTCTAGCCTCGATTTCACACTTTTTCCTATTTGATCAACATTTTGGTTCATCCTGGAAAGCACAGCACTCAAAAAAAAAAAAAAAAATGCGGTAGCTGGTGTTATCAGAAAATTTTTTTTGTCCACAGCCATAAATGTCGGAAGACTCTGAGACTTTCTAGAGCCAAAAAAAGCAAAAACTTTTCCAATTCCAACTTTTTTGAGTTTCCTGGATGTCACACTAGCTGTTGGGTTTAGGTTTTTTTAGCAAATTGAGCATTAAGCCGAGGTCTGGTACCCCAGTACTTTCAACACTAAGAAAACAGCAATCGCTTATACTCAAACCGTGTTTTTATTGGGAATTCTTTCAAGCTGGATGTCACGGGGAACGTAGAGAGATGTCACTCGGGTATTTATCATTGAGATCAGTCATCAACTCTGTTGGAGTGGAGAGGAGGAGTAGGAACGAGGAACGGGATGACGGGAGTTACACTAATCTCCCCAAAACTCTCCGGAAAAGCTGAAATGAGCTCCAGCTAAGACATTTGTCGCCTCATTTGCATAAATCGGCACCCCATTCTCAAGGTGAGCGCAAGTGAACGAAATGAAATAGGACTGGGTCGAAAAATCGGCAGAAAAGGCTTTTTTAGCCGGCTATTTTCACAGGAATTTGTATTCTGGATGTCACGCGAAAAAATGCATCTTTTAGATTTCAAAAATCTCATAGTGTACCCATGGCGCAGTGGCGCGGTGGGAGTATTCCATGTGAGATTGATCCCGGGTTCGATCCCCACTCGAAATTTTTTGAGTTTTTTTTTGCTTTTTTTTGTTTTTCTTTTTGCTTTTCTTTTTGCTTTCCAACTAGTGGCTTTGGGTGGGTTATAATTCACCGCTAAACCCCCAAAAGATCGACTCGACCATAAAAAACCTCAGGTCAACCCGAGGATTACCCCACCTACTCCCCCTTTTTCGAAAACTCACTAAACCTCTAGAAAAAGGTGCTGGAGAAGCAAGCGTGCCCTCCATCATTCACAAAAAGAAACGATTTAATGCCAAGATTAGAGCTAAAGTGTTCCATTTTTCTGTGAAAATCAATCAAAGCTTTTTAGGGCTTTAAAAAAAAGCCAATAATTTCAGGAGTGAGAGAAATTGGTAAATTGGAAAGCACAAAAGGATTTAGGGAAAGATACGAAGCAATCCGAAGCATAGCATGCAGCATGCAGGCAAAGAAATCAGACTGCGGTCAAAAGTTTTTGTTAAATGCAAATTTTTGAAAAAATTTTTTTTTCAATTTAAAATCTGGAAGTCACTAGAAATTTTTGTAAAAGAAAAAATGAAAAATTTCGAAATTAAAAAAAAAAATTTTCCGAGAATTGACTCTAGACGAAATTTTGTCTCAAAAAAGTTTCAAAAAGAAATTTGCATATGAAATTCTTCCAATCTGGACCGCACTCTGAAAGCTTGGCGTGCAAAAATTGACGTTATTTCAAAATTTTTTATTTTTTTTCTTTTTCTTACTTGTAACTTTTGAGTCGAAGTGGCGCAAATCTGAAAAAAAACAAAAAGGAAAATGAAGGGAAATTTGAGGAAAATGTTAGAATTCCCGGCAAAAGAAAACGAAAAAAGAAAGCCCAGCCCCGAAATTTGTGCAATTTTGAGAAAATTTTGAGAAAATTTTGGAAAAATTGGAAAAATTCATTTTGGTCACCGTTTTCTGCATGCAAATCTTATAGTAGGTTTGCTTAAATTCCGATTTTTAGGCAATCTGGAGCGCACTAGAGATCCTGGAATAGAATCTGGACAGAAATATCGAAAAAAATTATCCCAGGGTTTTTTTACGTATTTTTTTCCCATTTACGTAGGCTACGGTAGAGCTTTTCTGCTCAAATCTGCATTTTTGGGCGATCTGGAGCTCACTAGGAGTCCCGGAACGAAATTCAGACAGAAATATCGAAAAAATTATCCTGGGTTACTGTAGCGGTAGTGTACTGCACATCGGCGCGAAAATGCGTTTTCTATTGGATTTTTCCGGGAGTACCTTTTTTAGATGCGGAAAATTGTGCTGATTCCGAATCTGAAGGAATTTTTCAAATCCCCTTGACAGAAATTTTTTAAATTGAGTTTTAGCGGTTTTTTGGTCATTTTGTATGGGGAAATTTTGTGGTACCCTGCAGTTTGGGGCTCGTAACTCGACAACGAGGGTCTAGAACAAAAAACGAGGGGATAATTTTTATTCTAGAGACTCTCACGAACATTTTGATACAAAAATCATCAAATTTGCTCAACTCTACAAAAAGTTATAACATTTTTTTTAAAGAAATATTGCAAAATACACTAAAAACATAAGGGGAAACCGTGGCCGAGTGGTCTAAGGCGCGCGACGTCAATCCCGCGCAAAAGTATGGGGTTGTTAGTTCGACTCTCCCGCACACTTGAGCTATTATTTTGCATATTCCTTAATTGTTTTGAGTGAATACGATACATAGCTACATTGTTCTTTTGAACAAAAAAAATTATGCAATAGAGAATTTTTTAAATTTTCTCATTTCTTTTTTAAAAATGTTATAACTTTTTGTAGAGTTGAGCAAATTTGATGATTTTTGTATCAAAATGTTCGTGAGAGTCTCTAGAATAAAAATTATCCCCTCGTTTTTTGTTCTAGACCCTCGTTGTCGAGTTACGAGCCCCAAACTGCAGGGTACCACAAAATTTCCTCATACAAAATGACCAAAAAACCGCTAAAACTCAATTTAAAAAATATCTGTCAACGGGATTTGAAAAATTCCTTCAGATTCGGAATCAGCACAATTTTCCGCATCTAAAAAAGGTACTCCCGGAAAAATCCAATAGAAAACGCATTTTTGCCTTATTTCGCGCCGATGTGTACTGCCCATTTGGTTATGCTTCGGTAGGTCTTTTTTGCTCAAATTTGAATTTTTACGCGATCTGAAGCTCACTAGGGGTTTTGGAATAGAATTCGGGCAAAAATATCGAAAAAAAATTATATTGGATTGTCGATGTACTGTAGAAGCCATTTAGATCAATTTGCATACGGAAACGGCCACCAAAAATTCTTTTATCCATTTTTTTTTGTTTAAAAGCGATTCAGAACTGACTTCTCATTGGGGATCGGGTCGATCTCGGCGATTCCCGAGCCGCCACAAGAGCAAATCCCGTAAAACATGTAGTCCTTCCAACTCCACATCCAATCCATTTCCTGGAGCGAATAAAAATGCAATAGCCAGTGACCCTGACGTCCAGATGGGCCAATTCGATTACCTAAAACTTGATAAATCACAAGGAAACCAGGAAAAAGTCGAGAAATCGAGATCAAGCGAAAATCTCATCGCAGAATGGGTTTTTCGAGAAAATTTCTGAATTTTTGTGAATCCTGGAAGACACTGAAGGTCTAGGAATCGAAAATAGGCTTGGATATCAAAAAAAGTACTAGCCCAACATAATAGCCTCTCCACTCTGAGAGTTGTCATGGAAGCCGCTTTTGCCTTCTCGAAATTCCCATTTTTTCCCCCATTTCCTCAATTTTTCACCCCCGTTCAACCATTCTACATTCTCTTTTTTAGAGCTGGACCACCGGAAGCCATCCAGCTTTTGCACTACTCCACCCAAAATCGAGATTTCAGTGAGCTTTTGAGTTCGACTAGAAATGGGCTTTTTTATGGGTTTTTGAAAATTTTCGTGATAATTTTCTGGAGATCTGGAAGGCACATGATAAATCAAAAAGCCTAGATTAAAGAAATTCGAAAAATTTCTGAAGTTGGCTTGGAGATATCAAGACCCTACAGTTTTAGGCAAAACTAATGAACCAAAAGATTTTAAAACTTCATTTTAAGGGGATCTGGAACGCACAGGATAGATATAAAAGCTTAGATTCAAGAGATTCGAAAAATTTCTGAAGTTGGTTTGAAGATATCAAGACCCTACAGTTTTAGATAAAGCTAATGAACAAAAAGATTTTTAAACTTGATTTTTAGGGGATCTGGAAGGCACAGAATAGATATAAAAGCTTAGAAAATGAAAAATCTCAAATTTGTGGCAGGTGGAATTTGAATCGATACGTAGTCGTTAGCTTGACCCTTGGCTGTACCCTAAGTGTCATTTTTTCTTTCAGAAAAAGCATAAAAAGCATAAACTGGCTAAGGGAATCGCTGGGGATGAGCTTGTTTTCACACCCAAAACAAAAATGGATCCGTTTTTGAGATGGAAAAGGTGAGATATGAGGAGAGAAAGGATCGACGACGAAACAAGGGAAATGAGAAGATGACGACCGAAGAAATGAGCCTCTTTGCAAATTATGGATATCACGAGAGCGAATCTCTCGATTTTCGGCTAGATCGGACTCAAAGGATCGAGTCGGAGTTGAAAGGATCAAGAGCCAAGACACTTATGCAAATTTTTTAGAAATCACATTTTTTAACCGCTCACAAATGTGCTGTGACATCCAGAATTGCCATTTTTATTCTTAGAATATTTTTTGAAAGATTTTTAAGAGGCGAATTTGTCGTGAAAAGAGATCGAAGCGATTTGAGCCTGAAATGAAGTGATTTCGAGAATTCGATTAATGTAGTTGCTAAGCTGGATGTCACTCTAAAAATTTCCGAAATCAGATCTAGAAAATTCGAAAGTTTCCTCATGGCCAAGTGGTTAGCGAGTTTGGCTACGAGTTTGAGGGTCAGGGTTCGACTCCCTCGTCGTGCAAAAATAGAAATTAGTTTAAAAATTGAAAAAATGCATTACAGATCGCTTAGAATCGCTTGCAAACTTGTATTGACGCGTTTTTTTGTGAAAGAGATTGTCGAGGTGAGATTTTCTTGCTCACTTCAACACCCCCAAGGCGACCTTTCCTCTTTTTCTCTCTCCCAAAACCATATTTGCATACGAAAACAGAAGGCTAAAGGAAAAGGGAGAAAAGAGAATGGATTGAATAGAAGATACAACAGGGAAATAGCTGAATATCTTTAGTTTTAAGAAAAAAACGAAATCAAACGAGTTCAAGGCATTTTATGATGATTTTTCTAAAGAAATTGAAATTTTAATTGAAAATTTAGCCATTCTGGAAGTCACTAGGAATATTTGATTTAATAAAAAAGAGAATTGATTAGTTTAAACTTTAGTCATAGATCAAAATCGAGTTCAAGCTGTTTTCTCGAAATTTTGTTAAAGAAAAATCATTGAAACTTTATATTTGGCCATTCTGGAAGTGCACAAGGAATATTTGATTTGATAAAAAAGAGAATTGATTAGTTTAAACTTTAGTCATAGATCAAAATCGAGTTCAAGCTGTTTTCTTGAAATTCCTTAAAAGAAAAATCTTAGAAACTTTATATTTGGCCATTCTGGAAGTCACTAGGAATATTTGATTTGATAAAAAAGTGAATTGGTTGGTTTGAACTTTAGTCATAGATTAAAATCGAGTACAAGCTGTTTTCTCGAAATTTTGTTAAAGAAAAATCATTGAAACTTTATATTTGGCCATTCTGGAAGTCACTAGGAATATTTGATTTAATAAAAAAGTGAATTGATTGATTTGAACTTTAGTCATAGATTAAAATCGAGTACAAGCTGTTTTCTCGAAATTTTGTTAAAGAAAAATCATTGAAACTTTATATTTAATAATTCTGGAGTGCACAAGGAAAGATCAGCTCATTTTATGGTCACAAATAGAAATAGGAAAAAAAATGGGGGAGGTGAAGCATAACCGGTTCTGATCCCCTCAGCTTCGTCATCACCATCCCTTCTTTCTGCCGCTTCTTTCATTCCTTTTTTTCCTCTTGGCCATCTAATCCCAATCACAAATATTCTCTGACCATTGAGAAAAGCGTATTCAAATGGAAGAGTCACGGCATTGACATGGCATTGAGTCCAACGATTTTTCTTTAGCTATGAGCTTTGAGCTCTAGCTTTGAGCTCTAGCTTTGAGCTCTAGCTTTGGGCTCTAGCTTTGGGCTCTAGCTTTGGGCCTTTGGGCTCTAGCTTTGAGCTCTAGCTTTGAGCTCTAGCTTTGAGCTTGTTTTTAAGAAGAATAGAGATTCTGGAAGGCAGGAGATCTTTTGATAGAATGAGAAATTTGCTAGAAGCAATTTCAACAAATTTGAGCCATCGACTCAGCTACTCAATCCACAATATTCTCTGGCTTCTGGTAGCTGGCAACTGTGTGCTAGCTTTGGCAAGGCAAGTCAGATCAGGCAAGGCAACAAAGGAAAACTAGGTCAAGACCATGAAAGCTTGGAATCAAAAAGAAATGCCTAATTCATGGTTTTCAAAAAAGAGACAGGGCAGAGTTGGGGAAAAGCTAAGCTTTGGAGCTAAGCTAGAAAAGCTAAGCCGATGAAAAGAAAGGATTAGACAATTCTAATGTGAATTTATCTAGAAATGAGTAATGTAAAGGTTTTCAGACTGAAGATTTCTCTCTTCTTTCGTTTCTAAATTACCCACAATCCTCTCTTTTCACTTTAGACACTTGAAATTCTCGTCAGGATTCGAGTTTGAGTTTCGGCCTTGACGGGCTACTCTCGTCAAGACTTTCTTGGGGAAAAGAAGCAACTTTTCGACACAATACGACACAATACGACACAATACGATTCCCCTTTGACCTGTCCTTTCATAGTCAACCTCGTCACATAAAATTGCTGTCGAAATCTCGAGATTCAACTCTGGAACTCGAAAAATTAAGCATTTCGTCTAACTGGCGATTTGCTCAAGCTTGTATCGCTCAACATCCTTGCTACAATAAAACAGCTACAAGATAAACTGGCTAGAAGATCCATGCACCCTGCTATAAACCTTGCTTTTATCGTAGTCAACAGCCCAAGCTAGACTAAAACTTGTGCTTTTGTTTTAAAGCTCATTTAACTCACAATGGAACTCGGTAGACTAAAGACACTAATTTTTAGCGCTCCTGGAACGCACAAAGCATTTTCGCTTTGAGAGTTTTACGATTTAAATACTTTTCAACAATTTGGTTTTTGCTAGTTTCCTGTCAGGCAATTTTTTGACTGTTTCAGCTATGGTTTTAAGAATCCGACGAATGATCTACAAATCCTGGAACGCACAAAGCATTTCCGTTTTAAGAATTTTGCGATTTAGCCACTTTTGAACAATTTGGTTTTTAGCAGTTTCTTGTCCGCCGACTTTTCCGCCGTCTCAGCTATGGTTTTAAGAATCCGACGAATGATCTACAAATCCTGGATGTCACACTAAAAATTCCCCAAATCAGATCCTAGATATCTCACATGTTCCACATAGCCTAGTGGTTAGCGAGTTTGGCTACAAGGCGGAGGACGAGGGTTCAACTCCCGGGTGCTCCAAAGGATTTCTGCTTTTTGAAAAAACACTAGAAATTTGTTGGATAGGCTGGAATGGGGTTTAAAAAGTTGTGGAAGAGTTACCAGGACAATGATTGTCAGACAGAGAAATGGGAAATCGAAATTAAAGAAAAACCGGCTACTTTGACAGAGTGAAAATTCAAAATATGATAAAAATAAGATTTCTAAAAGAATCTGCTGATGAAGAAGGCGATAAAGCATTTAAAAAAAAGCTATCCTTTCACTCGGAAAAAGAGCTTTCTCTGCTCAATTGACCGAAATCGACGAGGAGAGGAGAGCCGAATTTTGTCAGGCTCGAAAGACTCGAAAATTTCTATAAAAAATGGGAATTAAACGTTTTTAGGATTCAAGCTGGAACGCACAATGCATAAATAAATATTTAAAAACGAGTTTTTCATAAAATTGAGACAACAGAAAGTTCTGGATTGGACGCAAGCGGAAAAAGTCGAAAATTTTGGTAAAAAATGGAAAATAAACTTTTTAAAGCTTCAATCTGGAACGCACACTAACTAATTAAATATTTAAAAATTGAATTTTTTGAATTTAAAATTTTGAAAAAGTTCTGGATTGGACGGAAGCCGAAACGTCGAAAATTTTGGTAAAAAATGAAAAATAAACTTTTTAAAGCTTCAATCTGGAACGCACACTAACCAATGAAATCTTTTAAAATTGATTTTTTTGAATTTAAAATTTTGAAAAAAATTCTAAACACTAAGGACGATAACCGATTTCGAGAAACGGGAAACCGACAAAAAGGAGACAAAAAACTTTTCTAAACAAAAAGAAGAAGAAGAAGCAAAAAAAAAACGGCAAAGACAATCATATGGACCGGCTAGGTGATGATTGATTGTTGTCGGAAAAGAAATAAAAAAAAACGGCGATGAAAAGCAAAACGTTTCTCTTCCCTGCCTATCTAGTACTTTTAGCAAAGAAAATTATCAAAATTTCATTACTAAAGGGAATTCTGGCAGGCCCAAAGCACTTTGGCTTTGAGAATTTTCCGATTAACCCACTTTTCAACAATTTTGTTTTTGCAGTTTCTTGTCGGCCCAATTTTTTGACTGTTTCAACTATGGTTTTAAGAATCCGACGAGTGATCTACAAATCCTGGAACGCACAAAGCATTTCCGTTTTAAGAATTTTGCGATTTAGCCACTTTTGAACAATTTGGTTTTTAGCAGTTTCTTGTCCGCCGTCTTTTCCGCCATCTCAGCTATGGTTTTAAGAATCCGACGAATGATCTACAAATCCTGGATGTCACACTAAAAATTCCGCAAATCAGATCCTAAATATCTCACATGTTCCACATAGCCTAGTGGTTAGCGAGTTTGGCTACAAATCGGAGGACGAGGGTTCGACTCCCGAGTGCTCAAAAAGATTTCTGCTTTTTGGAGAAACGCTAGGAATTTGTGGGATAGGCTAGGATGGAGGGAGGATTTTTTGAAAGATTTTTAAGAGGCGAATTTGTCGTGAAAAGAGATCGAAGCGATTTGAGCCTGAAATGAAGTGATTTCGAGAATTCGATTAATGTAGTTGCTAAGCTGGATGTCACTCTAAAAATTTCAGAAATCAGATCTAGGAAATTTTAAAGTTTCCTCATGGCCAAGTGGTTAGCGAGTTTGGCTACGAGCCTGAGGGTCAGGGTTCGACTCCCGGGTGCTCCAATGGATTTCTGCTTTTTGGAAATTGTGAAGCAAATGTGTTTTTAACAGGAATTATGAAATCTAAAGGGAAAAGTTGATAATATTTGCTCATGTGTTATCAGTTTTGGAGCGGTTGACTGACTATTTCCCTCTTGATCAAACAAAAGATCAAAAGTGCAGAAAATTTTGAAATTTTAAATAGCAACAAGTTACATGCGTTCCAGATTGCCCGAAAATCTTATTTCAATCAAAGTTTTCTTGGCGACAATGCAATAAAATCGCGACGAGAACGAAAAATCTTGATCTGCAATGACAAAATATGAAAATATCAAGAAGTTAAGATGCTAAATTGTTGCTGTGCCTTCCAGTATGTGCTTAGAAGTTAGTGTCAGCCAGGGGTAGTGCTCACTTTCTGTCTGTACGGGGGTGA